AAAAAATCCGATACTGGGGTTCCCATGTGTGGGAAGAGTCTTGCATTCAAACAATAATTTAGGTCGATGGAGAAGAGGAAAGCTGATTTGAGGCTATACAAGACTCATTGAAGACGTATCACTTGGGCTATTATTTCTGCGTGTTTAGTTGTAGAGTATTTGACTTTGCTTGACAATTTTTTTGTAATATTCTGTTCTAGACTTTTTGACACCGCATTGCCGAAGAGGGAGCAGTTTAGGTCAATTGGGGTTGCAACGACTAGTGTTTTTAAGAGCTTTTCTCTGTTTTCTGTGGTAGATCCGTGACCACGCTCCATTCGTTTACAGCAATTAGCTAATTTTTTATTTTTCTCTGTAAAAAAGATATTTGATAATGAGTTATTTGAATGTGGGACTATTAACTTCAAATCTCACATTACATTATTACCAGTTAAAACATCGCTCAGGTTTGGGGCTGCTAAGCCAGTTGCTGCTTTTATTGACTTTTTAAGTTTAATATCTCTTTCAAACTAAAGGAATGAATGCAGAAAGCTCTTTCTCTAAAGTTAGACTTTGCTTTATATATATGTATACATCATACTCGGTTTCTTGAGTGGTCCATGCTAAGTTGAAAACTAAACAAGATTTGAAATAAAGGTTTTCTCTCAAGGTGATGAGAAAGAGAGTTCCTTCAATTTATAGTTTCATTATGGAGTAAGTGACATAATTTAAGGAATGATTACAATCAAGGTATAATATAAACTTGCAACAGCTATATGTCCAACGGTTGCATTTTACAATTTCTTTGATTGTTGATTTTCCTCCAAAGCATTATCCTCATTTGATTTGTTTCCTTCCGAAGGTTCCACGAAATGATCCTCACAAGTCAAAGCATTCACATGTCAATTACAAGTTGAGACTTTATTAAACCCCGCCTTGATTTTGACTGCAGTTGTCTACAGACCAAGAAATTGAGTACAGGAAGATTCAACCGCATGATTTACCGTTCTTCCCTCATCTAATTGATTGTCATCTTCTCAATAACGGTTATGGAACTTGACCAAACAGGTGTAAGAGACATTTATGCATTACCAAATTCAAGAAATCAATGTCCTTTTCTCTAAGCTGTGGATTGAGAATAAATTAAAATATTAATTTCCAGGTTGAATTCAACCTTTACAGAGTTCAAAAGATCTGGGAGTTTCTAGAGAACTGAAAGAGAAAATGCATCCGAGGAAGATGAGGGATATGACGACCATGAGATCGTGTCAGACGAAATTGCTTCCAAGAATCTTGAATACACTTCTTCCCGAGAATCATATGAACCCCAGTTCTGAATGGAAGGAGGAAGCTGGTCATCTCCATTCAGGTACCGCAACATCTGTCTCATCCGAGGCCTAAACTCCGGTTTATAATGTGTGCAGAGGAGACCGAGCTCAAGAACCAGATTCATCTCTTCAACCACGTAACTTGAACCCAGTTTTGGATCCACAGTACCAAGAGCCTGACCCATTCTCTGTCATTCCATCACCCAATCTACCAAGAAGAAGTTGCTTGATGGATCTGTTGGCTTTCTTCCCGTTGCTACTTCAAGCAGCAAAACCCCATAGGCAAAAATATCGGAGCTGGTGGAGGCCTTCCCATTCCGTGCCAATTCTGGTGCAATATACCCAATTGTCCCAACAATATTGGTTGTGTGAGAAACTGTGTCACGGTTATATAGTCCTGCAAGCCCGAAGTCACCTAATCTGCAGTAAATTTAGAAATTTTATTGAGTGGAGAGAAATTCTAAATTCTAACAAGAGCAGAAGAAAAAATTTAGTATATTCTTGCTCACCTGGCATTCATATCTGCGTCTATCAGGACATTACTGGACTTAAATGTCTCTGTGAATCACTACTTGTTCCCATTCTTCGTGTAGATACACAAGTCCTGAAGCAATGCCTTTGATTATGTTGAACCTCTGCTCCCAGCTCAATATGAGCCCGTCTCGGCGTTCAAAGAGAAGAGAGTAAAGGCTTCCATATGGGATGTAATCGTAGATCAAGAGAAGATCATTCTTTTTCTTACACCATCCTTGGAGATTAATTAAGTTCTTGTGCCTTAACTTTCCCAAGCTTTCAATCTCCGCTGCAAATTCCCTCAGCCCTTGCATTGAACTCCGAGCGATCCTTTTAACGGCAACCTCAGTTCCGTTTGTGGGTAATACTCCTCTGTAGACTTTTCCGAACCCGCCAATTCCGATTATCTCACTGTCTTTGAACCTCTTCGTCGCTATATAAAGATCCCTGTATTGAAACCTGTGAGGACAATCCAACTCCCAATCTTCAAGATCCTCACGAGACTTCAACACCCTTTTACAACATGCAAAGAATATTAGCATTCCAAATAATAAAACAGTTACTGCAGCCAAGGCTGCAATTAGACCAATGATTTTGGGACCAGAAGCAGGGGAATCTTTCCTCCTCGGGGGTGGCAGAGGAAGTTGGGAAATATTGAGCGGCGAAGCTCTTCCATTGGTCGAAAAACTCCAGCATAAGATGTAATGAGAGCTCATCTTCTGTGGTCCGGTGGAGGCGGAGAAACCCACGTACATGGTTTCCTTGAGGACGGATGTTAAATCAACGGGAAAGGAAATGAGGGGTTTGTAAGTTTGTTTGGTTTCTCTATACCTCTAGGAAAAATTGTGACATTCACAAGATTAGTAATGCCATCATACTCTATGCAGGCCTGGACGGGATCACCACTTTCCAAATCTATATATTCCTCGTTATTGTGATCAGAGTAGTAGTAAGAAGCCAGCCTTGATGAATTTGATGACATGCTGTTGATGTTGATCCCAACGTGATTTCCTTTAGCCTCATGTTTCTCCTCGAATCCTTTTACAGTGTCGAATTCAACTGCAAATATATGGTTGGAAGGATTACTATCACAAGATGAGTTGAAGATTCCCATGTAATGAGCCGTTTCAGCACCGGTAAAGTTTGGAGAAGGGGATAAGGTGAAGGCAAGTCCGTATCCTCCTTGGCCAGAACTAGGGGGTACTATGGCAAAAACTAAATTTGTGCTGAAAGAAGAAGCATTTGAAGTACTTTTGTTTAGCATTTGTGTTGGTTTTGAATAGAATGCATGGCCTGTGATATTGCGGGATTGGTTAGTGAGTTCAAGCGCACCACTAGGCTTAACAATGGAAGCGCCTTCACGGGTAAGATTTGTTTCACTTCCATTGAAGCCATTGAAGATGAAACTTAGGGTGCCTGGAGCCTGGAAGAAGAAAAGGAGGAGGAGGAAATTAAAGGGATTTTTATCAGCCATTCCTTTGTGATGAGTTGAAATTGCACAGCATGTGTACGCATATGACATATATATGATTACAAGTTTTTGTAGTCTATAGACTACAGCGTTGAAATGAAAATTAGCTGTCCCAGGAAGAAGACTTGCAAGTTCCAAATTAAGGCAGTCTCCGTGTGCGCTTGGCCCCTGAAAGTTTCAAAGTCATCAACTTCCCGTGCGGGCTTCGTAGGATAGAAACTAGAGTCATCATTCGCTTGATTCTTGTCCAGTTGTCCAGGGGAGATCTATCGAGTCGCGTTCATACTTAGCAGTTGCCGTAGAGAGTAGGATTTTGAATGCTTCATGATTATATGTAGAACTTCGACCATTCTTAATTGAGCATGAAAATAATTGGGGCCGCTGCCACAGCCACAGGAATAGTCTCTCGCTCTCTTTAAGTACATGGACTAAAGTTTAGACCATTTGATTATCTAGTTGCACGCGGCTTACATATCACAACAGTTGTAATACTTGGATGGGTTCTTGTGTTCTCATTTCTCTTCTTTCATTGTCGAGAATCTGGTAAAAACAAAATCAAATTTATGTTCAGCATTCCATTTTCTTACGAGTAACGTTTCCTTTCATTTTCATTTCTAAAGTATTTGACCAACTTTATTTGGTCACCAACTTAATTAGTAGAACCAAATTATCCCAATGAAAAGTTGTTCTTGCAAAATAATTACCCTTGAATTGAGAGAGGCCTCCTAGTCCTCTCTCCAATTAAAAAGTTTATATTTTATAATTTTATAAAATTTTATATATTATAAAATAAAAACCCTATCTAAACGTAAAATTAATTGTTTGAGAGCCCAACACGGTATTTTGAGTACTTTAAGCGCATGGATCGGGAGTCTAGAATCTTGCCAGTCAGAGACGTATAATCGTCTCAAAGACTAGCCCATGTATATAAGCCCAAGTCCGGCAATACAGCTTAACAAGTGCAGTATCGGCAAATGTGATCATCTAAATCCCACTTCCCACTACAAGAAAGGAGGTGACAAGCAAGAAAATGTCTTGAAATTCCGTAATCCGGAGATTACAGAATTTCAAGATAGAAGGGGAGAGTTCATTTAGGGTGAGGATAAGTAGAGGAATTTGGGGGAATGAGATTGTCATGGATTGGAATGGAACTCCATTGGTTAGGGTTCATGCTCTGAGAAATGGAAAAAGAAACTGAAGGAAAATAGTGTATAATTACATTTTTTCTGCTATTTTTTAGAGTAAAACTGTAAAATTCATACCCAAAATTTCTTTGTGAAGATTTTATTAGTTCATAATAAAGGATCAATTTTAAAAAGTAAAATTATATATTAATATAAAATAAATTACTACATTCTTATGAGTTGAATTTTTTTTATCTCCAAAAAAAAAAAATCAAAACCTACCATCACACTAATAAATTAAAAAATATGTTTTATCAAATTATATTTTATTGTGTAATTCAATTTATATATTTATTAAAATATTCTTAATAAATTTTTTATATTATTTTATTAATAATATTTTAATAATTTTAATATTAAATTATATTTTTAATAAACAATTTCATCTTAAAATTCCTTTACAATTATTAAAACTAAAAACTAAAAAATAAAATGACTTAACTAGCCCCGTCGGGGTAGGGTTCGAACCTGCGAAGTCAAAAGCAAAGATTTAATTAAACATGTGAAAGGATTTGTGCTCATTAATAATGCTACTTAATTTTTTAATTTTAGTTCAATTAATTCGAATTTTATCGATGAGGACTTGAGGAGTTTCCTTCTCATTCTCTGGAGATCTGATTCCTCTAATCAAAATTACTTTTCTTTTTTCATTTTTTTCGGTTTTGGTTTTGGAAAGTTCCTATCTTTGTTTTTGTGCATTCTCTGCCAATTATCGGTTTCCTAAATTGAATTTGGAGAAAGAAGCACTGAAAACCCTAGAAAATGGGGGACTTGGTGAACAAGATCGATATGGAGAAGCTCGATGTGGAGAAGCTGATCTCCTACAGCAACGATCTTGTGGAGGTATTGAAGGACAGAAAGGATGTTCACAACTTGAATCAGTGTTTGCAGCACTCCAGGGCTCTCCAATCGCAGTGTGATTCTGATTTCAACGAGGTCCAGCGGTTACTGCAAGGTCTATTTCTCAATTTTCCCTTTCCCCATGTTTGTTTTACAAGAAAATGTGAGAAAGCGAAAATAAATTAACAGTCTTTTTTGTTATTGGTTTTGGGCAGAATATCAAGAAAAGATAGATGCTTGCAAGAAGAAAACAGAGCAGGCAAAGGCCGAAGTTGCTGCGGAAGATGAATTGGAGTACCTGCAGAAGGAATTGAAAGAGGAGCTTGAGAGAGAACGTGGGCTAAAGGAGGAGCTTAGATAAGTATATGCTTGTTGCATGCTATTGTTTGATTTTGGGATACTCCATTTTTGGTGCTTGGTATTGATTAGCATTTGATTTCCTATGACACGGCTATCAGTGAAGAGATAAATGAGTTGGATCAACAAAGGGTTTCTATTGAAGAGAGAAAGCAATCGCTAAGGAAACTTGAGCAGGACGAGTTGAAAGAACAGTAAGCTCATGACTTTGTATTAGCATGTTCACGATAATGAACATGCTATATTAGTTGTCTTAATTGACCTATGAGCATCAATAGAAGTTCTTGGATTCAATTTGTGATTTTAGTTCAATTTTCTGTTGTCAATGTTCATATAGAATTTTAGTACTTGGGTTCAGAACTGCAATGGCTTCGGTTTTTTTCTGGGATTTGACCTCTCTATTTGTTAGCAAGGAAAGGGATATACTTTTCATCAATTTGAGTATTTTCTATATTCTGGCAAACTTGGTTGATGGGTTTTATGTCTTCCTTAACTAGTATGCAGTTTCTAGTTAGTGGAGGTTTTGTGTTTCTGCGTAAGTAAATGATTAATTGAGCCTCTCTGGTGCAGGGCAAGTATTACATGCAGAAATATTTTTTAAGTCAACATTATATGTTTTTCTTGTTTTCCTGGAGAATGTATCTTAAGGATTAGTGAGTTGCTTCTAGATCAATGATCATTATCAGCATCCTTGGATTTTCTAGTTAACTTTTGTTTTCAAAACATGAGATACTTTACTGCATTTCACAATTTTTCTTTTATGACGATGAGCATCTTGTGAACTGGACCAAGAAATTAAAATTATGACATATTGCAGGAGGAAGCTTTCAATGTATGCGTCTGTCACAAATCTCATTCCAAACTTGGAAGATCAGTCCAGAATCTCAGGCCGTATCCTTTCTGATTCAATATTTCTGTTTTTTTGTCTGTATTATCCTCTTTCATTTATGTGGTTACTTTCAGATTCAAATATGTTGTGTGCTGCAACTTGTGGATTCTCCTTAAATCAGATTAATTACAGATATAGTTGATAGAGATAAAAAGGTTGTGGAGAAGTTTGAATTTGACCCAGCAAAGGTGTCTGCTTTTGAAGCTTGTGATAGCATATGGAAGATGATAGATTTGCGATAGATATCAGACATGCTTTCCTCAATTTTCCTTTTTTACTCAAGTGATTCAGGGTGTATCTTCATTTTTTGGAAATTCCAATGATGCAATTCCTTTTGTTCTGAACTATCTTTATGGATTCACATTTAGCTGCATCTTGTGTAATATATTATCATCATATCATTTCTTCAAACAGTGGTGGTGAAAAATACTAAGGTTAAGATGCTAGTATTAGCATGGCTGAAAAGTATGATTGTTCATTGTTGTGGGCAAATTGTTAGATAATATTAATGGTCTATTAATCTGGACAATAACATCATGCTGGGGGAGCTATTTTCATCCTCCAGATTTATGAAGTTTGCGCTTAACTAGGAACTCCTTGTACTGCTTAAACAACATGTCATGCTTAACTAGCATAGCAGACAGGATGGATGGAATTTTCCTTATCAGCTGGAATGGATGAATTCGATGTGCAAGCCTCCACTACACTTTTGCCGCTGTAAGCATTACAGATATGGGCTATAAAATTTGGATAGTCCTGCACCCAAAAGATTTCCAGTAAAGGCTTAGAAAAATTGAGATGTGTGGGATTAGGAACGGAGGGAAAGGGACTAACATCATATAGTGGCTGCTTATTGACGGTCACCCAGGGTACGTAAGAATGTTGTGGATTGAGATTACTAGTTTCACTTGCATACTGCAGTGAAAGCTGCATCAAGTAGAAGGTTAAAAAATGAAAGCAATCATTTATACTGGGCAATTATTGCACATGCTTCTTCTGGAGATGAGCTTAAGATTATAGATGCTATATATGAAGAAGACAGTTGTCCAACTGGTGAATTCAATCGCACATGACAAGTAGCATGAAAGAAATGCAGAGTAAATGGGTCTAACCTTTTTTCCGTATCCACCGTTGTAGCAGTCCTCTATGAGTTTCTGATCCAACCCCAACCATGCAGAGCAGGCTTTCCAGGCTGCCTCTGCATCCTGAGAGTGCTGATTGTCCTGGATGTGAAGGCCTTGATTTTCAACACAGTAAATAAAGTTGAAATGCTCTCTCTGTTTTGCATTAACAGGAAAAGGGTTAGGTATCTTCCCTCTTTACTGCTTGTGTTGATTTCTAATGTATTTTTCATGTACTAAGGAAGAGAAAGGTTGGTTAGCTCACCAGATCAGGCCAGATGTTAATGGCACAGGCATGTATGGTATTCAGATAGCATTCATCTTCACCATGCTTCATATTAATGCAACATTGTCAAAAATTAGTATTGAAAAGCTCGAGATAAAGACGCATAATATGATGATCCTGAATTTTTTTTTTTTTTTTGCCACACAATATACTGATCCTGATTAATTGTAATTGTCTTGAACTCATATCCAAATCTAATGCAAAAAAGTAAAGTTAAAAAAAGAAAAAAGAAAAAAGGGGGGTGTGGGGGGGTGGGGGAAGCTCAGATGAAGATAAAAAGGTTGGAACAACGGAAATGTAACCTGGCAAATGATGATCTTGTTGGATTCTGCAACTTGAGCATTTCCCCATGGAACCATTCTGACATTGACAATGGAGATAAGGTCTGAGTTGAATATCTTCACAAGTTGATTAATGATAAAGTTCCTGCAATAAGGACATAGAGATTCATAATACAGAGACAAATTAACTTTCAGTGGTTTTTCCATAGCTGAAATCTTAGGAATATCAGTATCTGCGGAAGAATGAGATGGATGGATCATAATAATGGTTATAGAGAAGAGAGCAAATGAGAGTAAGTGAGGAACAGCCATGACTAAGAAGCTGAGGACATTAGAGTGCCCACATGGTTTAGGGTTAATAACTATTGCATAGAGTCATTGCCTGTTCTGTTCTTCTTTATAAATGTATTGTGCCCCACATTACTCTTGTATTAATGCTTTATGGTCCCCCTCTTAAAACCCAAAACTACTGAACCATCCTCTTTTCTTGTTTTGTAACATCCACAAGTTCTTCCTCGATTTTCTTTTGGGTCAACAGAGTCGAAACTTTCATTAAACCCATGACAATAGTTCTTTCAACTACCAGAAGCAGCCCAACTACAAAAGGAACCCAAAAAAAAAAAAAAAGGGTTCTGCCTCGATTGACTTCTGCCTTTTTAGTACCTGGAAGGGCACCAGAACATAAAGGCTAAAGGGTCTTTGTTGAATCTATTCTTCGTAAACAAGGGCATCTTGATGAGTGTGTGGTTATTTTGACATCCACTTTAATAGTAAAAAGCTATTGAAGAGTTACTTGCAAAGTTTAAAACAAAGAGAAACTTATTGGTGGCCATCAAATAGAACCTAGCTTAGGAGAAGCATTTATGGAAAAAATCTGCCATCTTTCTTGTTCTTTTTACTCTCTGGAGGATATGATAGTTGTGTCTTTTATTCATGTTATCCTTTTGAAGATATGACAATTGCTTCAGTAAGGTCAATCTGAGTGATTAGGAATTAGGATAACAAATAAAGCTAAGGTGGGCAAAGTTCCTTCCTTTCATATCATACCAAGGACTCAGATCTCTTATTCCAAATATGATCATAATTATAAGTCACATGTCACATACAATCTTAACACTCATAAGTAAACCAGCAATGATGTTCCAAGCAAAAGCTAAATGCAGGAACACTGGATTTCTACCATGTCTTTGCAGTTCTTGATTATGACTAGCTGTCCGGATTGATCAAATTGACCTCCTTATCTGAGTTGAGGCTGGATATCTGCGATTCGCATGTCTCAGGAATATGATCCCCTTTGTACGCTTTTTACAGAAAACTTGCCACATATTTGCTACCTCAGTCTGCCCCGCTAAGACTTGTTGTTCTACGCAGTGAATGAAGTTGAAATGCGTAGCCTGCATCAGAGTCAAAAGAGAACTTAAAAAATGAAATGTACTTCAAAGTTGGTGCATTTTATTTTTAGTTCTTTAAACCAAAATCAGTAGCTGCACTTCATCTTGCATCAGAAATTTGAGAACGAAGCATAGACAATCAAAGTAAGTCATGATTTTTTTCATAATCTTTGATCCTAAAGAAGAAATAAACAATTGTTTGCCCTACCACATCGGGCCACAAGTTTATGACACAGCCATTTATGGTGTTCAAGTAGCATTCATCTTTGCCATGCTGCATATTATTGAAGGGAAAGAAAATAAGTCCATGAAGACGGAACACCAAAAATGGATTATATGAAACTTATTTGATGGAAATGAAGATGTAGGGAAATGGACCTGACAGGTGATTTAGCCATCAAGAAGACGAGCGTTGCCCCAAGGGACCAACCTGAGATTGACAATGTTTTGGAGATCAGTGTTGAAGACATTCACAAAATGATTTGTGATGAAGTCAGCACAACCGAGACATAGAGTTTCATAGTACAAAGAGAGATTAACCCTCTCATCTTTTTTTTCAGATGGAGACGGTGCAGGTGATGGTTGAGGAGAAGAGTGAAAGAGGAACATGAACATGCAAAAAGCTACGGTGCAAGGGAGTAACTCAGGATGACCCATCTTTTGGGGGGCTTTGCATAATGTTGATGAAGATATCATGCAGCAAGTTCATATATAGCTCCTGTAACCATCTCTTTTGCTCCCTTATCATTGATGTTAAAGTAGGTTCCCTTGTAAGTGTGGTGACATGGTAAAAAACGAAGAGTACCACATAGAAGAAATAACAAAAGGATGAGTGCTTAAATACGTCAACTTTAAAGCAGGAGAAGCTAATGGACTAGTCTCTGGTTTCTAGATGGTGTCAAAAAATGTGTTGGGTCAACAATTTGTCTAAGCGGTATTTCAGTCGTGGATTGGGCCTATGTTGTAAGCTCCGTCTTCTGGTTTCATGATGGTGTTGTCAAAGCATGTGTTGGCCACCAATGTCTGCCCAACAATTAATAAAGGGAGAAGTGGAACTAGTTCTAGGAGATATGGAGGGTTCATCTACCTCATTAATGGATGTCTTGCGTAATTCCAAGTCATTAAACTCTTTAATATGAAATCATCTTTAATCTTTGATGTTGTGGAAGATTGATGCCTTAATTATGCACCTTAACTCCCCACCTACTAGTTGATTTGTTTATGTGTGCTGTACCAAATTTTGGAACGTTTTAACATCAGTTTGGAAAAGGAAAGAAATAAAGAAAGATAAGAAAGATTAAGAACAGGTATCTGCCTGTCTATGTTATTTCTTTAGAATGTATGATATTTCTTAGACCCTTACTATTTCTCCATTAATTTTAGCAAAGCATCAAGCAGATCAGGATGATCTGACTCAAACCAGCCCTTTGAAACTTGCATAGAAACTACCTGATATCTGATACACACTCTCTTTCATTAAAGCAGAGCCAACGGTTTTTACGCAGTCCTTCTCCATTATTGGCATCCACCGGTTTTATTAGTTCTTCCTAAATCAAAATGGTGATTTGAATGCTGTCACCGAAGATCTGAGGTGATTTCTTGCTATATGTGGATCTCAGGTTTTATTTTTCTTTTCCCTTATGAAGACAGTTTTAAGATTCTTTCTTCTGGTCATTGAGCAAAAATTATTGAAAGAGATCATATCACTTTTTATCTTCTGAAGCAATGTTCTAGTGCCAGCTTACATCTTAAATACCAAAACCTTCCTTGATTGATATTTGAACCAAAGTCCACAATTCAAAAACAAAAAAGTGCTGACTACAAAACATTAGCCATTGGATTAAGAGAGGCCCTTGATATTGGTTGAGGATCCGCCATCCAATTTTTGGTGTTTTGCAGTCCAGACTGCAAAACATGACCGCAAAACACCATACTCATTCGAAACTCTAAATTAAAATGTTGAAAAGGACTGAGTATGATTGATAGAATAATTCTTTACTAACAACACTTTTATATCCTTTTTGGGTCACTAGCCATCACAATCAGTCGCAGACAGGCATCCTCCTCTTGCTGGCATGTCCAAGAAACAGAAAAGCTCCCTAAAGACAATTGATATGCAGGTTATTGTCACCATTATTATAAAACTCATGCCTTAAGCATCTCCGCCTTCATTTGCAAATCATTCTGGAAATACATCAAGTCAGCATGTCTTTTGCTGGTATTGAAGACGCCAAGGTTTGAGTTTCAGTAGCATAGCAAACTGGAAGAATCATATTTGAATTCCTAGATGAGTTGATCTTACGTGGAGGTGACTTGCAAGCTCTGGGGACAGGACTTCCTTTATATACTTTACAGATGTAAGATGCAAAATTTTCATAGTCCTGCATAAAGAGATTCAAAGCTATTGAGATTGACAGAGAGATTAAAAAAAAAAAAAAAAGAAGGCAGTAATATACAATTGGGACTTACATCTCTGACTGGTTGATTATTCACTACCACCCATGGTACAAATGTAAGAGGTGGATTAAGACGAGCAGTTTCATTGCCATAACCTAATTCAATCTGCATGTCAGTTTAAATTCAGTATTATCAATTGAAACAGAGGGAAAGCTGACAATTCAAGCATCACTTATCTGGAGAATGAAACTAACCTTTATTCCCTTTCCATTTGTATAGCAGTCTAAGGTTTTCTTTCTAGGCAAATCCAAGGACTTGAAACAAGTTTCCCACTCCTTATGCTTTCCCTCTGCTGCTAAAAACTCAATGCAGTAAATAAGGCCAAAGTGCGTGTTCTGCAATTTGAAGTCGAAAGAAGGTACATTTATCATCTTATCTTTAAACTTAAACATTGCACTCAAGGATACCTGGTCTAGCCTTACCACATCAGGCCACTGATCAATAGCACAGGCTTCAATAGTATTTAGCAGGCATTCATCTGGGCCATGCTGCAAAATTAGTAAAAACTCTAACTCAGATAGACGAACACATTATGATCAACATCAAACCATTGGTAATACAACATTTGCTAAACTTATAAGAGTTTTCTTTCAAGCTATTTCATCAAAATATTATGTACCTCAACTCTTTCTTTTGGTTATGGGAAAAAGGGTGAGATACAGGATTCGAGAAAAAGAGAATATGGGGCCCTATAGTCAATAGGTAAACTCGTTGCAGTGTTCAAGTATGCCCAGCTTCACATTCCAGTTGCCTTTATGAGGAAGATTGGTAGTCCCTCCTTTTCAGTTGTATTGGACCAAAACAGCTTGGCCAATTAAGCCTTGGACGAAGTGAGGAAAAAACAGTCTTTGGTCGAGGAAAGTAGGAACTAAATCATAAGTTCTAAAGTTCTGTTTTCCTTTTTCTGATCTTTCAGCTTTCTCACCAACCAAAAAATGGTGGAACTTGCTAAAAACACAAGGGTTTGCTAAACTAAGATCAGATGAAGGGAAAATAAATCAGACTAAGATGAAGAAGATAACCTGACAAACAATGGTGTCTTCGGAATTGTTGATGTAAGCATTTCCCCAAGGGACCAGCCTGAGGTTGATGATGGAGATGAGATCATTCTCAAACACACTCTCGAGCTTCTGGACAATGAATTTTGCACAATGTGGACATAGACTATCATAGTAAACTGAGACATCAACCTTTCGAGGGCTTACAAGATTCGAAACTTCAAGATCATCTTCATTTAAAAGAGAAGAAGCTTGGGGGAATGATGAGAATATGAACAAAAGCAGATAAGAGGCAACAACTACTGGGGAAACCAGACTGCTGGAAGCCATTTTGCAGAGCATATGTTGTGCTTCCACATATATAAAGGCGCTGAGTTGCTTTGACAATTGTTAAGAGAATCAGTCTCATGCCCACAATTATGTAATATGAAGATGATTTGTCAAATACTAAATTTAGGGATCAAATATTGATAGTGATGCTATTAATAGCTAAATTATGAAGATAATTTGTCAAATACCAAATTTAGAGATCACATATTGATAGTCATACGTTGGCATTTTTTTATTGTTATTCCCATTAACATATGGCTATGCTTATTTCCAAGTACTGTATATCCTTATAAGCCATTTTGTGTCCCATGAATGAAGGGCACATGGAACTTGTGAGTGTAAACAGAATATGTGATTCCTGGCTTTACAAGTTCGTGCATTCTATCTTCCCCTTCTCCAGCGAGGGAAGACCCTTCTGTCATATTTGATTATCTGACAAAACAAATGAATAATTGCTTTTGTTTCAGTTCATCCTGTCTAGCTTTGGCCAGCTAGAATCATTAATTAGACATCACCACCAACTGTTGTGACAATGAAAAGGCTAGCTAGAGAACAATTGAATAAACCTCTAATGCTACGAAGATATTATAGTGAGAAGTGGAATTTGCTGAGAGATTGCTTATTACATTTAGATGTGAAGATTCTGAAGAGTGTACATATCAATTCAAATGTTTGCAAAAACACAGAAGCATCATAAAGCAGAAGCACCCTGCTCTACGCAAGACTATTTTAGCAAAAGATCAAATCCTACAGTAGGTACTCCAAAAACAAGACAAGCCAAACTGAACCTCTACGGGTTAGCAATTCTATGCCAGCCATGATCCATCAACGGTGCAAAGGATTTCATTCTAGTTTTTTCCTTCAATAACAGCACTAATAGAATTTTCCTTTGGCAACAACTTCTTCCCCAGTGGAAGTGACTGGCAGACCTCAGGAACCTGATTGCCTCTGTAAGCCTTGCAGACATGGTTGGTGAAGTTCTGATAATCCTGGTTTTCAACAGAAACAAAAAAAAAATTTCAGGGCTCATAAAACGAAGAACAGAGGAGACAGCAACTAGAGAGACAACCTCCTGTAGTGGTTGATCATCCACAACCACCCATGGTACAAATCTATGCGGTGGATTAAGCTGAGCAGTTTCTGCAGCATAATTTTGCTCTATCTGTATGTGATCAAGCAACAAACATTAGAAAAAAGTTTTAAAATGGAAAAGTAAAAGAAAAATCAGTGACACATGCAAATGATGAAACTCACCTCTATTCCATATCCATTTCTATAGCAATCGATGGGGACCTGGGCTATCCCTGTCTTATCAAAACAACTGATCCATACATTGAGTTTATTCTCCAAAGCAAGACCCTCCACACAGTGAATAAATCTGAAATGCTTCTCCTGCATAAGAAGGAAAATTGACGAAACTAAAGGAAGAATATGAGAAACATGGAAATGTTATGCATTATTCTTCTTGGGTCCTGGGCAATAGAAGGCTTACTGGATCAGGGTAGATTGTGATTGTGCATGCCTCAATAGTATTCAGAGCACACTCATCCGGACCATGCTGCAAGATGTAATTAAGGGTCAATGCAAAATCAAGAAGAAGCTTGAAAATGAAGAAACCCAGATGGAGAAAAGGGAAAACATCAAAACAACCTGGCAAAGGAAGGCACCGCCAGGTTCAATCTGTGCATTGCCCCATGGAACCATCCTGAGATTGACAATGGAGATGAGACCATTGTCAAAAAGCTTGACCAGATGATTCACTATGAAGTCTGCACAGGAAGGACAAAGGGTCTCATAGTAGAGAGAAAGGGTAACGTTCTGAGCACTTGATTGAGGCATTAACACAGACAGAACGAAGGCAAGGAGGAAGAAGATGCATGATCGACGGGAAGCCATTATAGAGTGCAGAATATAGCCTCACAGCTTGTCTGTGCCTGTGCACTCTTAAAACGCTTTGAATGAAAATAACCGTCAATAAAGGATAGGTGAAGTGACTCCGTCGATAACCTTCTTTTACTCTTTTCACCTTCCTTTTCTCCATATGCTATGATGATTATGGCTTCATTGTCTCAACTTTAATTCTCAACTCGAAGAGTTGTTAGGTGAATAAGGGTGTCTTGGTCGTATCAATAAGATACCAAACCCGAGACTGAAAACATCAACATCATGGAACATCTCTAATTTAATAAGGCTGGCTGGGAAAAGAGTATGAAGGGCCTACCAGAGTCAGAAACAAAGACACAGAGGAACGAAAAGAAGAGAGATTTTGCATTTGCAATGGAATTTCCATGGCTTTTGGACCAACCGTTTCTTCATTAGTAATGTGATTAAGGTAAGAACGGCTTTATAAAATGGAAACACTAGTGAATCTGATAAGAATCTAGGGAATGCTTCTATTCTCTCCATGGAAGAAAAGAATAAATCCTTCCATGCTTTGCCAAATTGTCTTTTGCTTATCATCATGAATTCTTGTTCACTTTTCAATTAACTCCCTTTTTTCAAGAACTAAAATTGCAAACAACCCTTAAACTTAAAAGAGCATGTAGTAGGAAGAGAATTGTGTGGTTCACTCCGAATTGCACAACAAAGCGTAATTCAAGCTTCAAGAGTACCAAAATATCTTTGATAAACCTTATTTATTAGTGGTATTTAAACATTTTCACAACTCAAATTGCATTTAATTCAAACTAAAAAAAATCCATTATTATAGTACTAAAGATTTTTATTTTTATTTTAAAATAAAAAAATATATTACAAATTAGACCGCACATTAAACATATAGTTTGATTTATAAATTTATTAAAATACTTTAAAAAAATTATTTTATATTATTTAACTAAAAATATTTTAATAATTTTATAAATTAAATTATACTTTAAATAGACAATCTAACATGTAAAATATGAATGCCTTAAGAAAAAAAAAAAAAACTACAAAAACGGAATGAATTATACAGTTAAATATGTGAAAAGACAAGAATACCCTTGAGGAATAATGAATTTGGACCAAAAGGCATCAATTAAAAAAAAAAAAGAGAGAGGAAGATTTAATAACATGGGCCCTACTGATTTGCAGGGTTTTTGGGCTATAAATCCAATTTCATTGGGCCCAATGGCCCAATTTGAACATCCTTCTTCGGGAGTTTGGTCTCCTGCTCATCGTTCTCGTCACTTGCAGTGCTTCATTATCCTATCTTCTGGTAGTTGCCCATCTTCAGCTTTCGAAAATGGCATCAATTAACTTCAACCCCTTCGGAAGCTGGTTCGAGAAACCCCTGAACCCCGTCGCACCCGTCGTCATGTCCCTCAGTCAAACCTTCTTCTCCAAACTAAACACCACCTCTGCAAATTTCGCTTCGATAAGCTCCTCCTCGTCCCTCTCCAAGGGGAAGCCGGAGAAACCCGACTCCACTATTGATAATCCAGGCCCGGATACGAAGATGCTGGACCAGTTCTTCTGGGAATGCGAGAACCTTCCTGATTACAGACACACCCCGGAAGTCGAGAAGATCCTGAACGAAGACCCGCTTTTTGAAAAGAAAGAGAATCCGACTGAGGAGGAGATCAAAGAAAACGAGAAATGGTGGGAACGGTTCAGGACGAGTCCCGTTGTCCAGTTCTTGGCCCGAGCAGAGGAAATCGCCGATGAAATCAATAGAACGGAGATGGAGGAGAATGCCGCGCCGTATAGAGGGGAGGATAGAGAGCTGTGGGAGGCAATTCCGCACCTCACTGGGCTGGACGGGAGGCCGATGCCCAGAAAGGCAATAAAGACGAGGGTGGAGAGCGATAATAAGTTTTGGGATTTCTTGCGGCAGTTCCTTTTTGGACTTTGGGGGTTTCGGCAGAGGCCATACCCAGCGGGGCGCCCCATTGATTTTCCTCAGGCTTTTGGTTACAAGCGGCTTGAGAGGCGCTACTATGACTGTAAGCTTGGTTCTGTGTTTTGGTTACTTAGTTGAATGCAACCCGTTTTGAGTTCTTAAGTTGGGTTAGGAGTATCTTCAAGGGGTTGATGTTTTATGTTTTATTATGTTTGATTATTGTTTTGTATAGATTTTGTGGTCTCATATTGGATGAGTGAAGGATAAAAACTCGAATGGTTGGAGTGATTTGGTAGCAGTGTATAATGTATGTTAAGGATTGTAGAGAAGGTGTAAACTTTGCTCTTGTCAACTTGAATGATTATGGTCATAGAAAGACTGATACAGGATGACAAGTATAATTAGTAGGCATTAATTATAGGGAATGTGTAGCATGTATTCACAAAACTGGTTTCTTATGGTTTCAGATGCCTTCTTATAATCTAATCTTGTGTAGATTATCTGTTCTTTTTTCCTCTCTGGATTGTATTTGTGTCATTATTACTATATATGTTATTCTCCTATGTTTTGTTGTTGGGTGACACAGTTATCATGAAGAGTGGAGGCTTTTACTACAAAGACCGCTTAGGCCGTACAAGAGGTCCTTGTGAACTGATCACCCTCAAAACAGCCTGGGGTGCTGGGATTATTGACAAGGACACTTTCATTTGGGGGGAGGACATGGATGAATGGGCACCCATTCACATGGTTTACGGCATGGAACGTGCAATTGCAACTTGGGAAGGTTTGTCTAATTCTTTCCTTGTATTTTCATTTTGATTTGTTTATTATGAGCTAGATCCAAGACAAGGGTACATTTTTCTAGTAAGTCCATGAAATTAATTTCTCCTACATCGCTAAATTTTGATTTCTTTCAATTTAATTAGCAGACTTTGTACTGTATTAATGATGCTGTCTTGTTATTCTTATTAAAAAAAAAAAAAAAAGACTTTCATGAAATGATGCTGCAGGGGCAGCTTATTGAGCTGCCTTTTGGGTGAAAAGGACCCACATGTGAACAAACCAAAAATTTCTATGATTCCATCACAGTTTCTCTTCTTTCATTTTTTTTCTTTCTTTAACATGGATCAATTAACACAAAATATTCTTGTCTTATGGATGGTTATCAGTGAGACTTGGTGCAGCAGCAACAGCTTTGCTTCACAAACTTCAGAAAGGTATACCTCCTTGGGTTCCTCTCAAAGGACATGAGAAGAAAACATATAAGCAACTCCAACAAGAAGCTATAGGGAGCAAAAGACGTGATTTGGCAGTATTAAGAGCAAATGATGGCATATGGCCAGGTGCTAGAATTCCAAGTCATGCCTTATTTCTTTGGGCTAGTGGCTCTGAACTAACCACAACTTTGCAATCCGACCATATGCCAAACAAATTCATTCCAAAAGATCTTAGGTATTAATGCTCTTCTTTGGCATTTGATTTTGTTGTTTAAAGCAATTATATATTACTGTCCTAATGCATTATTACTAGTGTCTTTTTTTTGCCACTATTACATGTCTAGTTGATGTGATATCTTATATCTGAAATTGATAAGGATTTTGGTTGCTTCCCTGAGACAGACTCAAATTGGCCAAGATTATCCCGGAGTTAAGACCATGGGAAGTTTTAAGTGTTGAGCAAGCTATGAATCAGATTACATATGGTGGAGAGTGGTACCGTGAACCTCTTGGTTCCTACACAACTGGCCCTCCTTACATTTGGGAGATGAATGAGGATAATCTGGTAGAGTGTTGCCCCTTTATTTCTTTATTTCTTTATTTCTTTTATTTGGGAAAGAAATCTTCTTCCACCTTAACCCCCCCCCCCCCTTTTTTTGTACATTTACAAAAGCATACATCTTACTTATCATAATTAAAGAATCCTAGTAAGGAATGATAAGGATAAATGTTAAAACATGAATGAGGTTTAATGATGGCCATCTTTCAACTAGTGGTTCCAGTAGCTGTTCAAAATTTTCCAAATATCCTCCTTGGATGCCTAGACTTGATCTAGTTAGTGAATGTGCATTTGTAACTTTATCATTTCTATGCCTGCAGGAAAAGTATGAAGATCATGTGGAACTTGGAGGTGCAGTGTATGAAGAACTGGAGAAGACAATTCCTGGTTTCAGTAAAATAATGGAAAAAGTTGAGGCTGAGGCTGAAGCTAAATTTGCTAGACTTGAGGAGAGGAAGGAGAAACTAAGGAGAATCAAGGGGCTGGGAGGCACTGCTAATGATCCATAAAGTCAGTTTCATCAAGCGTTTGCCAAATGATAGGTAAAAGCCCTAACAAATGGTAGTCCAATTTCTCCATTATAACTGATATCTTCTGTGAAATGACTCATGAAAATTGGTTTTGGTTATTATGAAAAATGGGGTACAGAAGCAATTTCTTCTCAATCTGCTAATTGTGAACTGATAATCAAGATGTTAATCTAGATCAGATAAAATTGCAGTGGACATTAGGCTGATGCCGATACATATGTACTTGCTTTTTGCAGGAATGTTGATCTAGAAATAGGACAGTCAGCCATTCATGGGGGAAAAACTGAGGAAAGGGGAAGGACCATGTGGATGAATCCTACCAGAGTCTGACCCTCAGATTTTGAAATTTAACTTTGTTAAGTTTGAAGACAATATGATAATCAACAATGAGTTTTGAGATTCAAAATGATTCAATGAATGTTACTTTTACAGTTTATGGAAATTGCTTATTTTATATTTTGAGTACGAAAATATCACGGTGTAGTGTTTTATAGGCGGGTACTATATCAGATTGTAAAACACAAGTATTGAATGGAGGATCCTCTCCAATATTGAGAGCCCTTTTAAATTTAATGACTAATATTTTGTAATTCATATCCTTTAGGATGCCAAAAAGAACATATATATATATATATTTGGTATTTTATAAGGTGCGGGTTTCCACCGACTTTGCATGGAACAGCTAAACAATTTCTAAAAGCGCGGGCGGTGTCGACCGTCCACTGGCAGCTTTTTTTTCCAGCAGATAACATCTACGAAGTACGTGTAACAAGACTAGAGCTTCCCAATTCCCACCAAGCAAGTAAGCAACCCTGCCATCCTGCTCGCCTCTACTGCATACTTTTTTTTTTGGTCTTTAAATCTATCTCCTTTGATGTCTTGTAACAGAAAAAACAGATTGCCTGCATTCAGAATCAAACCAAAAGTGAAAGAAATTTTATAACTAAAGATGGAATTGGAAGAAGCTGTTCCTGAAGCTGAAAGCTTGTTTCCTTCTGTCAGTCAGAATACCGAAGTCGGTGCTGATGGAGGAGAAAGCCATGAAAGGGAGGAAGCTGATGTGGTTAAACAAGACAAGGATCCGGTTGGTGAAGGAAAAGATGAAGAGACGGGAGGTGGGCTTCTGGATCGTCTCATGTCAAACTTGGTCTCTCCTTTGAGCCCCAAGGCAGGAGAAATCAATGAAGTAAAATCTGAAGAAAACGATGACAGAAACAAGGGTTACCAACCGGTGGAAGAGGCCAGCGGCGGTGAAGGTGGTGGAAGGCTCGTCACCAACATCATATCCAACTTCTTTCACCAAAGTGAAGGTGAAATAAAAGAAAATGAGGAGAAGAAAGAGGAAGAGAGGGTGAAAGACGTTGCTGAAGAGGATGAAAAATTGAAAGCAAAGGAGGACAGCGAAGAGGGTCTCATTGATAACATTGTCTCCCATTTGCCAATATCTCTTCCAAGTATATTTCTTACTCCTCTTCCTTCAATTCTTTGATGACAAAAACAATCTCAACTGATTTTCTTTTTTTTAGTATTTACTGAGTTTTTTCTTTTGTATGTATAGAAGCAGGTGCTGTAGCTCCAACAACTGATGATGAAGCTGCCATTCTAATTCACTCCATTATCCATGATTAAATCATTCAAACATTGTTTCCCCTTCTTAGAGAAGTAGTTTTTTAGTATATCTAGAGATCAGTTGTTTAGCATTTCTGTGATCTCTCTCGATGCCTGTATTATTATTATCTTTTTAGGGCACTTGCATTTTGATCTTCTACTTTAATTAAGACATGCTTCTAGCTCAATACATGTATCATTGAACTACGTAGTTGTTACTACTAAATTTCTAATTATTCAACTCAATGCAATGATGGACCTTGTGCACCCTTCTTTAGCAACGGATTTAATCTTTGGATTTTGAAATCGTTCTCTAAAATCTAAACCCAGGGTACTATTCATCCATGTTGGTAAAAGCTGCGTTTAACTTTGCTAAAAGCACGGAATTAAATTCTTTTATTGTCATTTGAAAACAAATAATTTCAGTAGAGACGGAGATTCAAATCTTTTTACACTCAGCTACCCTTCATTGATTTGTTTAATAATTGTGAATAATTAATTTTTTAAATAAGAAATTATGTTTTATCATTTAAATTATATTGAACTATAAAATAAAAATTATTAGATAAGAAAAAGACCTTATTATCCAAAGCACACCTTCCATTCAATGTTTTCATTTCAAAAATTACTAATTAAAGTGATTAGCCAAAAATCCAAATATTACAAAAAAAAAAAAAAATCATGAAAAGAGAGAGAGAGTCGATTTGTGAGACCATGGGGATAAATTAAGCAATTTATACAATGGTTAATTAACAATAAGAGTATAAAATAACCATGTTAGTCCTTTTGTTCTTAAGCAATTTTTTAAAAGTTAAATGAATTTTTATTGATCTAAATAATTTAATAGTAATTTTTTGTGAAAATAAAAAATTCTAAATTCAAGTTACATAATATATAAGTGAAGTTAAAGAATGAAATATAATTTTTTTTATTGTGTAATTCAAGATAAAAAAAAACTAAAAAATTAAATAAACTTTTAGAGGGGATTAAATATTTAAAACAATCTTTAGGAATTTGGTTATCAAAATCATAAAAGTTCAGTGGTTAACTTTAAAGTTTTCTTCTTTCCCATATATTTGTGGGCTAAAGGCCCATTATGATTTACTGGCCTGGGCTTTGGGCTAACCGTTCAAAACCCTACCCGGTTTTCTGCCGGAACCATATATAAGGCTGGCACCTAGGGTTTTGTAATCTCATCCCCTTACATTAGCTGAAGCAGCCGCAGGGCTTTGAAGCTCTTTGGTAGTGTCTCTGAGCAAACATGGTCAGTTTCTCCTTCTCTTCTATTCACTCATGTAACTTTGATTTGTTTACGTTCACATCTCTTTTGAACCTCAAATTCAGAACCCCTTGGATTTCAGTAATACTTCGTTGTAGAACTTTCCCTTTTGTGTTAGATCCTATTAGCTACGAGGCGTCAACTCTTAGTACGAGCAAATTTGATGATGTGTAGGTTTGGTTTTGAATGATTGTTGATCGGGTTTTGTTGTTTTACGAAATTTAAGCATTTCGTTTAAGCTTTTTGCTCTGAGAATGGATCTCTTGTTGTGGGTTGCTAGCCATTTCTAGGTTTTAGCTTGTTTTGATGCTTATTGTTTTTGCATTGGAGGAGATGGTTATTTATCAAGTGGGTGGGGTGTAATACCCTTAAAGAGCTGTTATGAACGGATCAAGTTTCTTGCTTTTGTTTTCCGTGTTGATCTTGCCTGTTTGCTGTTCCTGTCTCTTGTTCACTATGTTATAGTTTGATAAAAAGGGCGTTCTTTTAAAAGTGTGATTTTTGGGGAAAAATGGGGATTTTTTCTTTTCTATGACAAGGAAATCATTCTGGCTATATGCTTCCAGCTAGATATTAGCTGGGTTGTGTCAGTTTCTTTGTGAGTTAGAATTATTGTTGATATATAACCTTGTTTAGTAAATAGAGTGTAAGTTCTTTTGGTTTTCTATTTAACTTCTATGGTTTGTTACAGGCGAGAGGGTTGAAGAAGCACTTGAAGAGGCTCAATGCTCCCAAGCATTGGATGCTTGATAAGCTTGGTGGTGCATTTGTATGTTAACTACTACCCTGAAACTTGTACTTTTGATCCATTTTGTGTCTCACTTTCTTTTCTGCCTACTTGATTTCAACTATTTTAATCATGTTTCAATTAATCTGTATGACCAGGCTCCCAAGCCATCTTCTGGACCCCACAAATCCCGAGAGTGCTTGCCTTTGATCCTTATACTCAGGAACAGGCTTAAGTATGCCCTGACGTACCGTGAGGTTATTGCAATTTTGATGCAAAGGCATGTATTGGTTGACGGGAAGGTTAGGACAGATAAGACCTACCCTGCTGGCTTCATGGGTATGTGAGCCTTTGTTGTCATGGTCCTCTTTGCTTAGTCAAATCTTCTGTGTTTGGAATTTACGGAACTCTCTCTAAAAGATCAAAATAGGTTATGGAATAGCTTTTATTATTCTTGATATGTGAAATATTTGGGGATATTGAGTTAGACTATGTTAGTTGGTTGGTCGTCAATTTCTATTGGCTATGTTTCTTCTTTTTTACATGTTCTGGACTTGGCTTTTCTTCAGTTACTCCCACCCACGCTCTCTGATGTACCCTTTGAATTTTGTTTTTTAATCTTGTCTTGCTTTATTTTGATAGATGTCGTTTCAATTCCAAAGACAAGTGAGAATTTCCGTCTCCTCTATGACACCAAGGGACGTTTCCGTCTCCACTCCATCAGAGATGATGAAGCAAAGGTATGCTTATTACTTCATCATTTGTATTTAAATATGTGCTATGTTTTGTTTCAGCTTTGTATCATATCAATTGGAGTTATTTCTTTGCAGTTTAAGCTTTGCAAAGTTAGATCTGTCCAGTTTGGCCAGAAAGGCATCCCATACCTCAACACATACGATGGTCGCACAATCCGCTACCCTGACCCACTCATCAAGGCTAATGATACCGTTAAGCTGGACCTAGAGAGCAACAAGATCGTTGACTTCATCAAGTTTGATGTTGGTAATGTTGTCATGGTCACTGGAGGAAGGAACAGGGGGCGTGTTGGAGTGATTAAGAACAGGGAGAAGCACAAGGGTAGCTTCGAGACCGTCCACATTCAGGATGCCACTGGTCATGAGTTTGCAACTCGTCTTGGCAACGTCTTCACCATTGGCAAAGGAACAAAGCCATGGGTGCAGCTTCCTAAGGGCAAGGGTATCAAGTTGTCCATTATTGAGGAGGCTAGGAAGAGGCTTGCAGCTTCCCAAGCTGCAGCTGCTTAAATTTTATTAAATGTTTCTGTTGGATAGAGGCTGGTAGGTGCTCTTAGTTGCAGTTATGATTTATGCTGGAACACTTGCTGTGTTTTTTTCTTATATGATCACAATTTTGAACTATTAATTTTGTTACTCCAAGTCTATATGCTGTTTGGTGATGTGGTGACAGTTTAAGCTATGGTTTTATAATCTTTTGGAACAATATAATTCTCTTCTATTGGTTTATTTTATTTGTGCCCCCCTCTTTTTATTGTATTTAAGGCATGCTATATTGTCCGTTCTATGTTTACAAAAATGTATTCTAATCTGAAACAGTCTACGCAAGGATTATGCAGGTCAATAGATGTGCAAAATTTCTCAAAATTAAAATGGCCTTTCATGTTCTGACTGTACGCCGCACCTCGGCAAGTAAATTTTCAGAATGCTTAAAGTCACGTACAACGAAGCCCCCTGGTGTTATAAATGGTGGTCTTATATTGGATTTCTGGGGCAGGATTGTTATGGGTAAGGAGAGGACTATAAGAAAAACCAGTAACAGAGTTAGTTAGAAAGAAATATGGTAGGTGAAATGTCCTCTAAAGCTGTTGGAGGCTACGCTACCGAAATATCACATGCTTCCATCTTTTACAAAAGGTGGGACACCAAACCAACCCTCCAAAATTATCTCCTACCACTTCTGTTCCGTTTTACGAAAGATGAACAAAAATGGTGATTTTTGTTCAATAGGAGACCAAAGTGGATAATTTACTCATTCCATACTAGAAATAATGGCCGGAAATCTTTTGACGACTTAGATTCCAAACTAGAAAGAAGAGAACTTTTCATAGACTACTTCTGGTCCATTTTCCTCATCACGACACAATGCTTTTAACAGGCAGGGTGAGAATGAGAGTGGGCTGTGCGAACAAAGGCACTGAAGAAAATTCAACCGACCGCCTGACCCTGGTCCCATCACTACGTGCCCTTAACGTTAGAAAACTCTAATCTTTGGTAAGATGGATAAATGTGAAAACCAAAGTCCAAAGAGAAATTGCCTACTCACTCTCTTTTACCTCCCAATAATCAATCACCTTCCCATTCTCATACATCAATGAGTTTTTCATTTTTATGGTCTTCTGGTCCCCAATATAAGGTACTATTAATCAACGCCTCAATAGTACAAAATTTGAAACTCCAGCTTGAGTTGACAGTGGCCCTCCGCTCTCGTCTTAATCGATGTCGGTTTTCTGCTGTCTGATGCATATGGTTATCTTACTAATGATCATTAGTTTATTATTTAGGGGAAAGTTCAGAAATCAAACACACACATATATATATTGCAGGAGTAAGGAGGAGAGGTTCAAGAGGAATGTGAAGAGTGAAGATGAAGAGATGGAGGGGATGGCAATGCTTCAAGCAACCTGTCCATCTTCCTCCAAAATGTATGCTTCTGAAGGTTTGTCAACTGCTTCGACCCAGGGTCAAAGGTGAAACTGAAATTCATTACCGTCCCTCAATCTTTAAGCATTTATTGTTGGAATTCTTTTTCATGTTATGCTAACCAAATGACAATGATATGGAGTAAATGACAGGGTCGAGGCCAGGGCTTCAGAGTCTTTACAAGGACATGGAGTCTTGCCGTGGATATGAAGACATACAAGTAATGTGGGACATGATCCATTCTTCTTGCCCTGCAAATGTCTATGAGACTCCAAGCAGCAACAAGAGGCCTTCTCATTGGAGTTTCTGTTTTAGGCCGACATAAATGTCCTTTCCCATAAAAAGAGCTCTTTGGAAACTTGAGGTAAAGTTTCATGTCTTTTCTTAACATTTGGGAAGGGAAAATAGAAGAGTCCAATGCTTATCCAAAATGACATTGTAAGTAAGAGAAACAGAGAGGATCTGGGGAATTCTTGTAAAAACTGGAATCAAAATAAGTTTTATTAAATAGGCTTAATAATTTGTACAATCACCCCATGACAAGGTTTCACATGTGAATCATGATATAAGATCCAAAAGAGAACATTGTAAATCATCCAGGATGTTCACCTTGTACTCTCAGGCCTTCTCAAATCTTGTCAAGGATAAAATTTCAAAGGAAGTTTTCTCTAACAGAAGAAAGAACTGACCACCCATATGTCTACAGTAAACACAAGTAATTTATTATCTCAATATATTCTAGAGCATAAAATACAAATTAGCAATGGGGAAACTAGAATCCCAATGATGCAGCCTCTGAAATCTTCGTTATGCAGCATCACCGTTATGGAGGAGCATTTGATCAAAGTGCCACACTCCTGCAAGCACCACAGTTTGCTCTTAGTCCCCATAAATGAACACAGATGATGGCAGAAATTGGATGCCAGTAAGCAGCCAATCAAAGAATAGATGACATTGACCAGTTGACAATTAAGGGTTTGATTCATACCATGGCCTTTTCCAACCATCCTCAGTTGAGCAACATATTCTGATATTTTCTTAATAGCTTCAACCTGTAGAAAACGATGTTGTAAAAACTCGAGCAAAGGCAAAATTGTTTCTGTTTTCCCTAGAACCTGGTATTGCTGTCAGTTTTGACAGAATTATTTGTTTATGGGTTTAACACAATAATCAATATGGGCAAATACAGGTGTGAATTTCTCTTGATGTGTGGCATAAGGCACCAAAAACCATGATGTTCCATTCAAAAAATAAAATACGCACTTGTTGTCCCTAAATCACCATTCAAACAGATCCTGTTTGATGCTTGGAATAATTCTTTTACTAAATGCTAAGCCGTGAGCTCTCACCTGTTCAGATAAAAACTCGCTTTCAATGAATTCCGCCATCTGAGCATCATTGTTTCGTTCTGCTACCTGTTATTATGAAGCCATTTAAAATAAAAAAAAAAAAATCGAAGATTAGTTGCACTCCCCAGATGTACAAGGATTCACATATGTAGATTAGAGCAGCCTACAGCTCTTATTCTCAAGATTTCAACTAGAACAAATTTCTTAAGGGTAATTAAAGATTTCCCACATTGTGCAGGCTCAAAAGCTTCTCGTTTGTCAATTTCTCCAAGGACAATGCTAATTCCATTGCTGAACAAATGCACATACAGCCAAAAGTCAATTGAATCATCAAAAATCAAGTATATATCGACATGTAAGTGCTATTGTTCATAGAGATCTATGAGCATGGAAAAGAAAGTAACTTACCATACAATGCATCTCCCTTTTCAGCATGTTCAAACTCCGAAGGAGGCATGATAATTGAGTGCAGTTTGACCCTTCCACCGCGTATGTTCTAATTATAGTCCCAAGGTTAATATCGGACTCTGCAATCAAATAAGAAGGAAACTAAAGGCATAAACGTAGAGATGTAAGAACACACCTGATATTCCATCAGCTTCTCTGCATGTTCTCTTTCTTCTTCACTAGACTCCTTGAAAAATCTGGTATGATAGCAGCAACATCTCATAACTTATCAGATCTCATAGAACCATAAGGGTAAAGGAAATTCAAAGAGATCTTGTCTTTTTGCACTTACTTGGCTAAGCCTTTCAGAGCAATATTGTCTCTATCAAAGTAAGCATACAGAGAGTGGTACACATAGGAAACGTTGTATTCAACACTGCAACACAAATTAACAACAAATATAAGGAACTGAAAAAGGGAAGATTCAAGGTCATGTCATGTTTGGCACATGGAAAGGCTATTCCATGATAAATTCCTGATTACTACCCTGTAGACATGAATCTGGATCCTGTCTGATTTAGCTGTTAGGAAACAGTTGATATCCAACAGTTAATCTATAGTTCAAATACCCTTATACCCTTATTCGTCAGGCAGCTGTTCCCAAATAGGGCCTTAGTGTTAACCAAACATGACTTATTAAAAGATTACTAACAGAAAGAAAGAAAGAGAGAAAGATGAAAGAAAAAGTATGGTTTACTTGATTTGCTCATTGGTTGCAGCTTCACACTCATCTGAATATCTCTGGCGAGCAAGAGAAAGGTGGGGGGCAATTGGAATGTCAAGATCTACCTTCTTGATCTCTTCAAAA